TGAGCTGGAGAAGAGTGGCTGGCCTCCCAGGAGCTGTCAGTCTGCCGCTATAAACCGCAGCTGCCTGTGTGACGCTTCAGCACCATCCCACGCCAAGCTGCTCCTTGTCCTACCCGGATGGCCTTGTGGCTGACCCCTAATGGCTCAGCCTCTGTGCCATCGCAGGGTATCTGGCTTGAGATCTTTGGAATCCCGTCCGCCGGTACAAGTGGAGTTATAATAGTCCTTTTATTTTTTTTTTAAGAGAGATTTTTGCTATAGGGGGCATGCACTCCCAGAGACAGAAAGTGAGAAATCACTCCCCAGGGAGGATGGCCACGAGGCAATCCCTTCTCTGTTCTCCTCTCATGATTTTGGTGCACACACGTGCATGCAGACACACATACACACGCCCAGCATGAGTTTCAAGCCACTTGGTCCAGGACTCAATCCGTAGTTGACTACATGGGAGTCCAGCAATGTAACCATTACACCATCTGCTGGTCCCATAATAGTTTTTGGGTTTTTTTTTAAGAATTATTTATTTAATTTTATTCATTCATTTTATTTTAATTTGACCAGACAAGCACAAACACACACACACACACATACACACACACAGAGAGAGAGAGAGAGAGAGAGAGAGAGAGAGAAAGTGAGAAAGCAAGCCACCAGGTCCAGAACTTGAACCACAGTTGGTCACGTGGGAGTCCAGTGCCCTTAACCACCATGCCACCTGCTGGCCCCAATAGTTCTTTTTAAAAACAGCTTTATTGGTATATAATTCACATACTACATGATAATAAGCCTTTTTTTTTTAATTGCCAGCGGGCATGTGTGCTTGCTGGGGAGGGAGGGAGACAGGTGTACTCACCTATACATATACGTAGAGAGAGAGAGAGAGCACCCTCTTCCCAATGGAGCATGGTCATGCTACAGTCCCTTCTCCATTCCTCCATGTCAGAATTCGGGGCACGCATATGTGCCTGGGTGTTTTTGAAGTCAATGGGGCTAGGATTCAAAGCATGGCTGGCCATGGGGGATCTAGTTTCCTTAACTGCTAGGCTATGAGACCAGCCTAATATAATCATTCCTGTTTTTAACATTGTACTATCTTGTAGCTCTTTCTCTCTCTGTAAGTCTGAACATTTCCATGTGTCTGTCTAATTTTGAGAAGCCCGGTCACAGGTCTATGTGATCATTCTGCAGGCCCCACCACCTTCCCTGTTCCCCCCACCCCACCCCAGCCGGCTTTATCCCAGTGTTTCTCTGAAATGCTAGGAGGAGGGAGGCATGTTTATAGATGTCAAAGTGAGACCCAGAGTTCCAGGGGCTCGGGTTGTCTCCCAAAGCCTCCTTGTAGGCCCCATCACCTCATTCTATGTCCCTGCTCCCGCCTCTTCCTCCAAGGCTCCATTCTCTCTCCTTTCAACAGAGTTGGCAGAAACAAATGTTCAGCTTCTGCTGCTGCAGTGTATTACAGTGGGAAATAAACACGGATGCCCCATCTAGCCTGACAGCATAATTCATTTATTGCAAAGGGATATAATAAAGTCTGTTTATTACAGCAATTAACAGAGCAGCATTTGCCGGCATGCTTTTCAGTGGCAACCAGAAAAGTGCTTACTCCAGGTGCACAGATTCGGGAAACCGTGCAACTGGAGCCAAAGTGAAACCGATTAGAGGCTTAGTCAATGGGTCCCAGCCGTCCCAGGAAAATTAACCATCTAGGAGCTAGTTCAGCTGAGGTAGAGCCTAAATGTAAGAATTTAACCTGATACAGATTGCTACTTAACTGAGTTAGGATCTAGACCTTTCTCTGGGATGGTGATCTTGAAGAGGTGCATGAAATGTACAAGCATCCCAAGCCACACTAGGTGCTGGGTTCCAATCTCACTAACCTCCATAAGAGTGTATAGGTGGGTAACGTCAGCACCATTGACTCTTCTTTTTCCCCCTTTTAAGGAATTATTCGATTTAACTTTTGTTTTGTTTATTTAATTTGACCAGAGAGGAATAGAGCGAGCGAGTGAGAGAATGAGAAAATAAGCCACCAGGTCTGGGCCTCAAAACTGCGGTCAGCCGGGTGGGAGTTCAGTGTCCTTGACTGCCATGCCACCTGCCAGCCCTTCACCATTGACTCAGGGGCCCCTTTCATTGTGGTAGAGGTGGGGGCAGAGGGAGAGGACCAGGGTCAGGGAAACAAGACAGAGAAAGAACTGCGCTAAGAAACCCTTTCATTGGGGCCGGCTGGTGGCACTAGACACCCACATGGCCGGCCACTGTTTAGGGTCCCAGACTCAGTAGCTTGAAACTCACGTGGGGCACATGTACGTGCATGCCCAAAATCCTGACAGCAAAATGATGAGGGGATTGCAGCATGGCCATACCTCTGGGGGTGATATCTCACTTCCCCTCTCTTTGTCTCTGTCTCTCTCTCTCCAACGAGTATATACCTACCTTATAACCAAAAAAAAAAAAAGAAAATCTTCAAAAGGAAAAGAAATCCTTTCATTAAACTCTGTCTTCAAGAGCATCAGGACCAGTGGTGGTAAAGGCACTGGGCTCCCACGTGGCCAGCCAGTTCCAAGTCCTGGACCTAGGCAGGTTTGTTTTCTCAGTTTCTCTCTCTCTGGTGAATTAATAATCATAACAAATAAATACATGAGATGAAATAAATAATTCCTTTAAAGAAAAAGGCATCAGAGAGATGCAGGATGTCAGTCTCTTGGAGAGACACATGGCTGTCCTGGGTAGGAGAGGGGACAAGATGGGGCAGGAGAGTCTGCTTTGCATCCTGGAAATATATGCAGTCTTGCTTTGGACAAAAAGATTGGACAAAGACATGAAGCCATTTGTCCTAGTTCTTTGGAGAGGGGCAGAAGAAAGGGAAGAATCGGTTTAGATTCCGGAGACGTGGTGTGCATCTGACTGCTAATTAACCAAACTTAGTTCCTTATCCCCCGTCAAGAGGAGAGGCTGGCGCCCTTCAGAACTAGGACGTTCTTCAGAACCAGGTCTAGTTTTTGCAAGAAGGGCAGTGACCCCGTATCATAGCTGTGTAAGAAAACCCATCCTGACTACCAGCTCCCCCTTTCCTCTTCAGGGACAGCCTCCAGGGACACTGTGGGGAGTTTTGCTCTCCCAAAAAAACCACGAATCTGGGTGCCTAAGCCAGCAAGAATACCACAAGCTGTCAAACAGTCCCTCGGATGGAGGGGTGGCTTATGGGACTCCCCTTTTCTCCATCATTCTTTTTCCTTCTCAGGCCTCTGGAGAAGGTGCTCTATTGAAGGATGAGGGCAGAAGCCAGCTTGGCCTCTTTGGAACAGAGAAAGTCAGAGCTTTGAGCATCATGAACAACGAGATAAAAATAGCAGTGTTTCCATGGCAACGGAGGCTGGGAGAGTCCTGAGGATCTGTCTGGGTCCTGCCATCTCCCCCTCCTGCCTTTCTCCCACCCCTCCCCTCGGATGGAACACAGGAATGTGCTGAGGGAGGAGGGAAGGCTGTCCCAGAAGGCCCGGCAGACAGAACAACCCACTTGGACAACCCGCGGACCCCAGAGCCAGAGTATAGACTGCCCAGGTCCGCGAGTTCCTGGCTTTTGGCATTTTCTTCCTCTGCATTGCGAATCTCTCAAGGGACGCCCTGGACAGCTCCCAGCACACCCTCCTGGTGGATGGTCCTGACCTCCTGGGCTCCCCTGTGAAGAACCAAGGTTTCTGTTTCCTCTTCATGGTCTCTGGTTCGGATCCCAAGGGAACTTAGAGGAGAGCCCAAGCAGAACTAGTCACGGTGGGCACTGAGCACTCCAGGCGTGGCCTGGGCTCCAGAAGATTCGTTCTGACAAGCCGGACACCCTGGTCCTGGGCTGGTCAGTGACGTGGACTGAGGGAACTGTTTGTACTGGGTGCAGGGAATGGTGGTGACAATACTCTCAGAGGGATAGCACATTCACTCCTTGGGGAGATTCTGGTTCCTGTGGCATTGTCAGCCTCAACACCTGCAGGACCGCAGCCACCTGCAGGCTGAACACCAGCCTTCCCAGACCACCCTGCAAGAAGCCACTGAGTACAGCAGACCCGGGACTCCCCTGGCCAAGCCCATCTGTGCTACTGTAAACCCAGTGTTGACATCTTGGATAGTGTGCCCTGGGAGTGCCTGCCTTCTCATGGCCACCTGTTACAGAGGAGGCTGGAAGGTACGTCAGTTGTCAGCCCTGGCCAGGCCCTGAAAAGCTGGGGCTAGGGCTGTCCCTCAAAATTGTCACCAGCCCACCCCAGCAGCAGCACATCCCAGACCACTGGGCAAATGCACATTCAATCTGCAGACAGGACAGATTCCAGCCCAAAGCACTTCCCCTTGCAGAAGGTAAGGAATGAGGTGGACAGATGTCCAGTCGGCTGGATACCGGCACATGAGCAGCTGTGCGAGGGCAGCCCATGGGTCACAGAACCGGGGCAGGCACCAGTTCTTGGGATCCCTTCCAGCATCTCTTGAGCATCTGCAGGTGCTGCTGGTAGTGTGTGTAAGAGAGCAAGTGTGTGCACACAAGAAAGATCTCTGTGAGGGCTGAGCCAGGGCCTGGAGTCAGAGTCCAGGCCTCAGACGTCCTCCAGCCCTTGGCCTCATTGTGAGAGGGAGAGGCACAATCACAGCGAGTCCTGGGCCCTGGCTGGGGAGGATTCTAGCAGCTCTGGGAGCCTTGGCTTTGCCCTCCTCCCCACCATTTCTACCGTATCACGCCCACCCTCCCTGCCCACACGTTTGCTGTCTGCACCAAGCGCACCAGCTGGGCACAGGAAACATGCAGCCCATCCAGCCTCACTGCCCTGGGTCCTTGGTTGCTCGACTTCCCAGACCTGCAGAGCCCTGGACTCCAAAGGGGACTTCAAGGACATTAGTGCAATCCTCTTCTTTAGAGTTGAGAAAACTGAGTCCCAGAAATAAGACAGGGTCCATGCAGGGCCAGAACCCAAGATCTGGCTCCAGCCCGTGCTCTCCCCCACCCCACCCCAGCATCTCATGCATGTTTCAACTGGTTCAATCAATGCTTTTATTTTTCTAAAAATAACAATCTCCCTATATATTTCTATGGACCCATATCATATGCTACATTCAAAAAGTCCTGCCCTGGGAGTAGAGAAGAAAATGACATTCTAATGAAAAGACTTCAACCTGAGAAAAGAAGCCCTCGGGTTCCATGGGCCAGGGTTCCAGGCAACGTTTAGGTCACAAGGACCCCAGCACCCTCCACACCTCTTTATTTTCCATTCACCAGCCTGCAGTCCAGGAGGGTAAGGGCCTGGGAAGTTTCCTCTTCCCAGATGGGGAAAACTGAGGCCCAGGGAGGCTCAGCGCCATGCGTTCCTATCACAGACTCCTGCCTCACTGCAAGTGCTGAGGACCCCAGCTCAAGGTAGAGCCTCCGCCAGGATGGAGGGAATTCCAATCAGAAAGGGCACAATTATCCAACCAGGTGTCAGGGAGGGAGACTCAGACCAGGGCAGGAAGTCAGGTCCACCCCAGAAGAAGCAGGAGGAAGAGAAGTCCAGGCTGGAAGGCAGAGGCTCAGGGTACGTGGCGTGTGGGCGCCGGGGTGCTTTGGCCTTTGTGGGTGACACCTGCCCATGGGTTCTCCCAAGGTGAGGAACAGTCTCCAGACTGTGTCCCCAGATGCTGAGAGGAGCGAAGTCCCCAGTTCCCTGAGAAACGAAACGATGCGGTTACTTCTGTCTGGAAGCTCCGCGGCTGCCAGCTCAGGCTGTCGCAGCTACAGCACTGGCCCCAACCTCAGCTCTGGATGGAGCAGGGCTGCCGGCCTGGAGGCAGAGCCCCCTGTCTTCAGGCCCCAGCAGGGCATCGGCATCCCCTCAGAGTGCCCTGACCTTGGGGCCCACCCTAGTTCCTGCAGCAGCAGGGCCTCGAGATATCCAGTATCCCTCTAGAGCCAAGGGAGTTCTCTTGGGAGAAGGCATTCTCTGAACAGGCTCCCTGCCAACCCCGCAGCTGCCATCCCTGCCAAAGCCGGCGAGGCACACACAGGCCAAGCTCTCCCTTGCCTCCCCCTCCTGGGAGAATCTGCTCCACTCTCCTGACCTTTCCTCCGGGTGAGCCATGTGGTCAGGATATAACACCCAACACCTCTTTACCTCCGGGGATACAGTTTCATCCTCCACCACGGGAGTGACTTCTCTAGGACTGCAGCCGCACAGGTGACCCCGAGGGACACACGTGCCCTCGAGGCAGGCTCTCTGGCCTCCGTCTCCAGGTAGCTCCTGTAAGCTCCACAGCCTCTCTGCCTCACCAAGGCCTCCACTGTCCAGGACAAAGAACCGGGGTGTTTGTCTTCTGTCCCTGGTGACCCCACTGGCCTTTATTGCTGGTTCTTGCTGTTTCCTTGAGGGAAGGACTTCTGTTTATGAATCTTTGGATATAAAAGGAGTAACAGATTGCAGAAGGCTGGGCCTAGGAGGTAGGGGCAAAGGAGGGGGCTAGAAGATAGGAGGAGAGAATTCTGAAACTGTGCTTTGGCCTCACAAAGAAAACCTGGATCCTATCAAGGCTGTCCTAAGCCCAGGAAATCGAAGGCTGCCTTGGCCTCTCCCAAGTTCTGGGTGACCTAGCAGAGGCCTCCTGCCATCTCTAGCTGTGCAGAGAGGCCCTCCCTCCATGAAATAGGGGAGCACAGACTCTCCTGTTCCGGGGCTGACCCACTACCAGGTCACCCGTTGAGCTGTCCGAGGGTTATTCTGTCTCTGATGCAGAGGCATCTGACTTTGTCCCTGGCTGAACTGTTCCTGTGAAGAAGACAGCAGACTGGAGAAGCAACAGAAGCTGCGGACAGTCCCTGCGCTCTCTGGTCCACATGCCCGGCACCCACAGGTTCAAAGGCGCGTGCAGGGGGAGGGGGGTTCTTTTGTTTTCTACCTCCTAGAAGTGGCTGGGCATGGGGCAGAGGCTGAAGCTGGAAGGCTGATGGGGTGGGAGTTAGGGGGAAAGGCAAGGGAAGTCCTAGAGGTCCCCCTACCCTAAGGGTTTCCCTGAAGGCACCGCATGCAGGCATGTTCTCCTCTATGGCTTCTGAAAAGAGAAGGGAAAGATGGGAGGGGGCAGACAAGGGGACAGGAAAACAAAGGGAGGGCACAGCTTAGGCCAGAAAAGGGGCCCCTCATCTGGCTCCTGGACGGTTCCTGAGGAGGGGAGGCAGAGCCTGGGGAACACCCCCCACTTCTGTGCTGCCACCCAGGAGACACAGACAGGTGAGTCAGGGCCAGGACGGGGTGGGGGGAGGAGTGGGAAGAAAGGCAGAGAGACAGGGCCACTGCCTGCCAACTTGCGTTTGCCAGGCTGACTGGCCACCACAGGCCTGGCTCCACCTGGCCCAGGAGGATGCTGGAAGGGCTCCTTGCCCACCGATGCTGCCCCAGTTTCTGAACCCCCAGGAGATTCCATGCTGGGCTCTCACATCTCATTTGAGTCTGCGCTGGGCCTGCCTGAGGCCTCCCCAAGGTCAGGGCTGCCTGAGGGTCTCTGCTGGAGCAGCCAGTTTCCTGTTTAGCAAGGCTCCCCTAGCGCAGGCCACATATTCTCCTGAGAGGGGTTACTCTGGGAGGCCCTCAGGGCAGGAAAGAAGCTCCTCTCCTCTGCCTCCCCAGGGCATCTCAGTCTCTGGAAGGAAAGTGGCAGGTCCTGGGGTTCCCCACATGTGGCTGGGGAGGTCTCAGGATGGGCAGTTGATGAGCAGGGCTGAGGAGGCCTGCGAGGCCCACAGGAGGCCGGAGGTGCCCTCAGGTGGGTGCCAGGTGCTGAGAAAGGCACCAGTTAAACAAGACTGAAGCTGCACACATGGCTTCCAGCTCCTGGCCCCAGCCGGAAGTGGCACCTCTGGAGGGGACCTGCTGGCGGCTGACCAAGGGGCCCTGGTTCTGCTCACACCGCCGTCTCCCGCTCTCTGTGAACTTCCTCCTTCTTCCTCTTCATCTTGCAGAAGCCGTGGAGGCCACAGAAGCAGGCGAAAGTGAACTGGGGCATGCCCTAGGCCAGTCTGGGGGTGCTCACCAGAGATCTGCAGGGAAGGGTAGGGGGAAGGGGGTCGGGAGAGAGAAGCAAGCTGGGGTTAATGTTCCCAGGACCCTCTAAGCCAGGGGGGCCACTCCCTTTAGTTGCCCAGGTCTGCAGCTCCCACTGGGCTGGGGGGGGGGGAGTCCCCCACCCCTTGTAGAACAGTGGTGGCTTTGAAACCTCAGTGTGTGTCCTGATCTGTGTGGGCTGATGTCCTGCCTCAGACTGGAGCCTGGGAAGAGCCCAGGGCAGGCAGGTAAAAGCGCCCCCTGCCTCGCCTCATCCCAGGCAGCTGTGGCTGGGGAACAGGAAGCAAGCTGGCTCAAAAGAAACTACTTCACACCGGTTTGAGGTGGGGGTTCCACGGGGTCCTTTGGGTCCCCCCACCCACTCTCCAGGGAGGCAGGGCATAGTCACATGGCAATCCCTTCTCTTCCATCTCTCCCTTCTTTGGGCATGCTTCTGCATGGATTTGGGGCATGCTCAGGTCCCTGGCATGTTTATCGAGGCACAGGGCCTGGGACTAGAGTCACTCAGCTGGGCACGTGGGACCCAGCACCTTAACCACCATGCCACCAGTTGGCCCCAAATGCAGATTTGGTGGAACTTGAGGAGACTCCTTCATCCAACACAGCCTCTGCTTTGACACTTGGAACTGAATCATAGATTCCTCCCTTCCTTGACAATCCTGGGTCATCTGACCCTGAGAAAAGCTAGGGGGACACAGTACACGTCCCTTGACTGCTCAGAGTCACACAAATCCCCATCCTCATCATGCAGAGAACAGACAGCAGAGCGAGTTCTTTTACCAACAGGCTGTTTTATTTAGCACCTATGTTGGGCAAAGGGGTTAGGAAATAGGTACGAAGGGCAAAGATACTTTCTTTTCTCTAATTCTGAGGCAGAGGCCAAGGCTGTTTGCCCCAGCTGGGCATGTTGTCCTGCACCCCTGGCAGACCTGGCCCTCAGCACAGGCAGGAGCTGCTCTGCTTCTGGGGCAGTCTGTCTGTCAGATCGGCTGTCTGTGAGGGCATCCCATTCTCCACTCACTCACTGTGGCTTCCCTGCCTCCCCCCACCTCCCCAGCAGGCTCCTCCGTTCAACTCTCTGCCCTGGGTCTGCTATGGAGGGAGCAGGAGCGCCTTCAGACGGCCCAAGCAGAGGAGCAGGACACTCTGCGAGCAGGACACTCTGCGAGGAGCTCAGGCCTGCACCCCAGCTGGTCTAAATCACCCTCTCTAGGATGAACACTGGAAGCAAGCAGGTGGTGCAGCCCAAATGTCAAGGACGAGGAGAGAGGCCCACACCCTGGGAGAGGGGCTTAGAAGAAGGAAGCGTGAGGTGCTTCCCTTCTCTGGCCCCTTGTACAATGAAGAATGTCAATGTCCCAAGCCCCAACCACAGGCACACCTGCGAAGTGGTTCCACTGCCTTTGAGGAACCTGGTATGGCCCAGATCATGGCTCTCCAGACAGTTCCACAGATCTGACCAACCTTGCCCTCTGGACAAACTTCCTTCATGTTTTTCCAGGCCAAGCAGAGGCCAAGGCCCTGGCCCAGCACAGAGCCCTCCATGGAGTCGAGTCCTAACAGGATCTGCCCTCCCTTCCCCTCTCAGCGTCCTGGCAGCAGCTGATGGCTGTGATTAATAGGTGCGGTGTATTTCCAGTGGCCAGCTGGGTGGGCAGGAGGCCTAGGCTGAGTCAGCATGGGCAGGTAGACTGGTTATTTAATAACCCGCTTTCCAGCACTGTGTACACGCCCACTCTGGTGGGGTATATACATAGAGAATAGAGAGCAAGCTCCAGGATATATATAGACAGAGCCGAGACACAGCCGCTGTATTTCTAGATCTCTCTGCTGCAGCTCTCTCTGGATCCCTCCCGTGACAAACCTAGAGAGAGAGATTGGGGCTCAGATGGTCTGGGTTCTATTCTTGGCTCTGATGCTGACATGCTGTGTCACCCTAGACAAGTGGCTCCATCTCTCTGGGCCCTCTTTTCCTCCAGAGTACCAGCAGATCAGTCAAAGCTTACCACTTAGACCTCCCAAACCTAAGGGGCTGGCGGGGCACTGGGTCCTTGCTTCTAAAGGCAGAGGGTAACAGAGGCTCATTACTCTGCTGGCTAGGGCCAGCCCAGGAAGAAGGGCTCAAGCAGGTGGGTCCCCTTACAATAGGCAATCAATCCTCATGCACAGACCTCCCTAGAGGGGAGAGGAAGGAGGTGGCACGGCGCTACGGGCAAGCATCCCTGCGTACAGGGGGAAATCGACAGGCACAGCAAAGCTGATGGGAAGGAAATCGCAGCCGAGACGAGCTGGCTCGCGCGGAGCTTTGACCATCACAGCTTCACCCCACGTTTCGGGAGCTTAGGGTCTATGCTTCCAGGGCACATAGATCCTTTCCCTCCTCACCTCGCTTGCCCTCAATACCTCTTCTTTCTCCCAGACTACAAAATATGTGACCTTAAGTGACTATTCCTCCCCAGGGTCCTTTGAGGTAGAGGAAGAAATCCTCACTATTTCGCTCAGCCTTCCCTGTCAGGAAGGCTTGAGGCAGGAGCGGGAGAAACTAGGGCCCACTCCTCAGAGGAAAGGAAGTTAAGGAAGCCCCTCATGAGCTGGGCGAGGGGCTGCGGCCTGGCTCTGAGAGGTGTGGGCGCACTTGCTGCCTCACGGGTTCTTGGATCCTCGCTTCTAAAGGCAGAGATAACAGAGGGCTCGTTAATCTGCTCAGATCTTGGCACTGAGCGCTCTGGCTGTCCTTCCCCATCAGGGCCTGGTAGGGTCCTCACTGCCAGGTGCGCGGCTCCAAGCCCTGGAGGCAGCCTGGGCTCCGTCTGTGGCACACAGGTCACTGGGCCAGTCTCTGAAGTGGGGAGACAGGGGGCGAAGAATCCCATCCCAATTCAGTGTCCCGGCCTGCCATGGGCCCCACTCCTCCCCCCTCAGGATCCCCGCCAGTAGGTACCTGGGGAGCCCCTCTGACAGGGCTGTGGTCTCAGCTCCTCTCTCTGCTGTGCCCGGGCAGGAGTCCTGTCGACTCCCTCCCTGCCTTTATCCCTTCCCACTTGGCAGAGGGCTTGGGCACCAGCTGGAGGCTCTCTGGAGAAGGCAGGTCCTGATGACCCGCCCTTGCCATGTCTACTGGGGGGGGGGGTG